CCTAAGGTTGAAATGCACGGCCCGCCACTGGATTCCCACCCCCAATTGTCAACCTTTGACCGTTCAGCTCCTTGCATCTTACCAGTGTCCATGGAGGGTGAGTGCAGCAGCCAGAGAGTAATCGATAGCAGGGCCGGGGTGAAAATAGGCAACAGGCCCCATGGCTAGCAGCAGGATGCTCAACACTCGCTCAGCTGTCCAGTGCAGAGAGGCAGCTTTGGAGCCGGAGCTCGCTTTAAAATATAAGATATAGGCATTGCATTTCAATACATTAACTTGGACAAGACAACATGGGTGGCCACAAAGAATCATGGGTGGGTTGCAGGGAGGCAAAATATACAACTATAGAAATTTGTATAAATCTCACTGTACAATGATTTGGGGTCATCAGAGCTTGAAACTGCGAGTACAATGTGATCGAATATTGTGTGTCCTGGTAAAAATTTGATTGCATGAGCGCGAGTACATATTTTGATTTATGGTTCAAAGCATCATCTTTCATCTGTGATCCATATGGTTCATGTGCCACGGTTCGGGTCACACATGGTCTGCAGATTGGCTGGTGGAAAAAAAATTGCGTGCATTCACATGAAGAGAGCGTGTTCAATCAACACTGCTATAGTAAAGCGTTAGTGGGAATCATATTGAGCGGAAGCGGAGAGCAGCTGGCTTGACTCGTCCCTTCAACTTTCTCAGCTTGCCTTGAAAACAGTTTTTATTGCCATTTCATCACATCATGACCAATATCAACAATGCCATCACAAAATCATATTCAATCTCTAATTAAGGATGCTAAGACATTGTCAGTTGATTACGCTGTCGTACGATACAGCGAGCCGCGAACGGGAGTGTAAATTCTGATGTCTCACGATGATCATGAGAAGGGAGGTGCATTCAAAACTCCTGTTCCTCGAAAGCCATATCCTGGCTGTTTTAGATTCCTCTCTACTTCAACACACCTGATTCAAATGATCAGCTCTGTAGTTTACTCAGGCACTTGTCATGTACGCATCTAGCAAACATTCTGTACTGTACGGATTTTGGTATAGTATACAGTTATTTCTTGTCAAGCCCCTCTTGGCAGCTAATCAAAGTGGAAATAATAAAAGAAAGCAGGTCTTGTAAGCAACCAGCTGCATGGCCCTCAAGCACCAGCATGATAAGTTTGGGTAAACTTTTAAACGTTTCAAACAGCTTTATTTCCAAAACGTGTACACTCTATTCACGCTCTGCAGCAAAAAGTAATGTAAAATACAATTTTGTAATGTATTGGGTGTTTTTGGGCCATGAAAAACGCGCTTCAGTTTAACCGACTACTGCTTTTCATGGACAACCTACTCCTTCCTATTTAGTTCATTAAATCAAGGTTCCACTGTACAGACAACACTGACCGCTTAGGGTTTGGGAAGCATGAATCCTTGCAGTGAGCATGTAAGTCTGCTCCTGATGTTTGTGTGGTAGAATCAACGGCCTTGCCAGCAAAGTGCTTTGGTAGAATAGAGCTGGGGGGAGAAAACAACAAAATGCAGGTATCAGAATCACAATATTAAAAGTGAACATCGTTGAGACAATCGTCTTCTTCTAAAAAAATGAACAGAAATATATTCTACTACAGATATGAATGAGTTGATCACTTCCTGAATCAAAAGCTGAAATGGAAATATTCCCTCGTTAGATAAATATCTACTCGAGAATAATCGTTTCCTTAAGTATACCGTGGTGGTTTTTGAAACACTCACCACATAACACTTGCAAAGAAACGTTTAGTTAATTTGATTCGACGATATGAGCCGAATTGAGAAGCGAATTTTGACATATTAAAACGGGACCCATGATAAGGATTTACTAATACGCAATCCTGACAGATTTACAATGGAGTCTCCTCTCCAGAATCTTCCTCTACATGCGGATCACTTATAATAGTGGGTTACTGTTGATTCCATTCATTTGCTATACAGGGAAACTCTCTTTTAGAGCAATTCAAATTAAATGAAATTAGCTTGATTGATTGAAGTCATGAACTTGAAATGAGCACCACTGTTTTCTGCGTAGCATGCCTTACACACACAGTAACAAGACACTCGGTTGTAGCTCCCAAATGATCTGCCTAATTTGCGAGCAAATTCAAAACAGGAAAGCGATGAGAAAGTTTTGTATTCTTACGGTGGACTCCTCTGCGACAAACAGAAGTCAAGCGCACGATAGCCGCCATGTTGGTCAACTAACCAAGGTCATCCCGGTTTACCCGGAAGTTGTTACTGAAACATCCCAATACAAAGATCTTTTAATTGAGAGAAGATGAATTTCTTCGAATGTTATGCTTACGAAACGCTATTTAAATAAAAAAAAATCAATGACAACAAAAGCCACGACCGTAAACGCATTCATATAGGTTACACAAAAAATCATGCATTGTTTATTTGTTGAATGTGCTTCTTAAAATATGTACTATATAACAATGAAATACCGAGTTGTTTTCCGACAACGCATCTTCTTGAAACAAGTATGCCTTTAGATAGCGTCACTCCTACGTCATCACAAATAAACTGATTTACAAATGTGAATCACCGAATGTCACAGCCGCCAGTGATGTATAGCGACACATCCCATAATTTGTATGTCTGCAGTGGTCTACGCGGACTCGTGAAGCACTGGTCGCACGCACAAGCAGTTTTACCGAAGGTCACTTGATCGCCGCTTGCTGCTACACATTACCGTTGATACTAAAAAAACAGTTCTGTCTATTTAAGATCCGTTTAAGAGACGCAATGGACGGTTTTGACAATCTCAGTGCGTCGGAGAAGGCGGAAGCGACAGAGCTTCAGCGGTTGATTGCCATAGAACAGCAAAAGGCTCAGTTTCAGGCCCAGGTTTGTACCCCAACGTGGACCGTACAGCATACAGTATTCTAATACTGTACTGTGCACGCCGACTGATGACTTGAATGATACCGATATCACATGGACTGCATTAAGATGGTGGTTGGAACATACGCAGAAGCAATGTGAATCCAACGATAGATCTTGTTGCAAGGAGAAATAGTTTGAAATACTGTACATCAGGGGAGTCCAAACTTTTTTGTTTGAGGGCCACATCCATAAAAATGGCTGACTGAAAGGGCCACTTTAAAATTCTTCAACATTTTGAAACACGCTAAAGTCAGTAAAGACAGTAATTATATCTATTTTTTTGTATTGTCTCGTTAATTTCATCAGCTTTCTGTTAAGGTGTTAAGGGCAAATATTTGAGGATGTGTCCAATTTTGTGGGGTGGCCAACAGTCCTCTATTGAACAGAATAGATCCAGCTCCACATTCATAACCAAAACAACAAAAAATAGTTAAGTGACCATGTTTCAGTTTCTTGAGGATCATTAATGTGGTATCTTCATAAATCAGCCATCTAGCACAAAGTGGAAGAAACTATTTTTGCCTCTAAAAATTGAATTATCTTTATTCGCTACGGTGTTACAAAGATAAATTGTGTTATTCTTTTCATCATAAATGGTTTATTTGTATCTTCAAATATCCGGAAAAGTTCTAAGGTATATAAACAAATGTTTTAGTATAAATGGCACCTATTTTTCTGACACCCTTCTCACTCTGCCCGCCTTGACCTTTCGTAACTAACCTTGCTGCCCATGTCAAATATCATTTATTTATGTATGTCTGTATGTCATGTTGTGGGCCGCTGAAATGGCCCCCGGGCCGTAGTTTGACCGCACTCGCCATTTTTTACTGAGGTTTGAATGAAAAAAGCTACTGTGTTAACACAAACTCTAACATTTACTGAAAAGACGCTGTTACCAATATAATTTGAAAACATTAACAAGCAAATCACAGTTACAAACATGAAAAAAATGCAGTATTATTAATATCTATAAAACATGAAGTTAAAATGATTGATTGAATTTTCTGTATTTTAGTCATGATACCCATTTCCATTCCCATCATGTCTGCTTATTTCTAGGTGCACAACTTCACAGACGTGTGCTGGGACAAGTGTGTGGACAGTCCAGGTTCGAAATTAGACTACCGGACAGAAACTTGTCTTGTCAGCTGTGTGGAGCGATTCATTGACACCACCTTGACCATCACCAACCGCTTCACTCAAATGGTGCAGAAAGGCACTCATTGAACAATGGACTGCAGAGACCTTTGTTGGACTTTATTAGCATATTAAAAATATCTATACACAAATGTTTTGGATTCCTAACATGTTTGGGGTTAGGGATGTGAAGAATGACAACATTACTATGATATACTACTGTGATCAGCATGTTTGTTAGCATTTCATGTTTGAATGGTGTGATCATCGAATTGGAACACAAGTAAACTGGCTGTTATTGGTGGAGTGTGGATTTCATCTGGATTTCTTTAGAACACTTATTAATTTGGTTGTGGAATGCATTTGCTTCAACAATTCAATTACATTTGCGTACACATAAACAATGCAGTATATCGGAGTTGTGTAAATTCGTAGAGCTCATCTTATTATCTCAGTTGATTTTGAACTGAACGTAATCTTTTAAAGAAGGTCACAACCAATAGTTACCCAATTGCAAAATGCAAGAACATCAAGCAATTATCTAAACCGCTTATCCTCGCAAGCGATAATGAACATGTGATTCTGTATGCTGAAATATTCCACTTGATTGAATTCTCAGATTTCTGAAACAGAAAGTTGGGGCAAAGAGTCATTGTAACAAATTCACTTCAAAAGTGATCACTGGTGTATTTAAATATAATTGCTTGTTTAAATATTACAACTTTATATACCTATGGAATACAATTGACCGTGACAAATAAAATGCGACGATTTTAAATTATTTTCTTCCCCAACTGATTAGGGTTGAATTGTGAGGCTATTAATATTTTTGGCCGCTCTGAGAGCAGATTTCATGGAAGTTTCTATCCAGCCGTGAGGTAAAGCGGTGTGTTCTCCAGCAAAGTGCACACGTCCCTCGCTCTGGAATAGTTCTCTGGCATAAAGGCCCTGGTAGGGTGTGAACAGGGCAAATGCACCCAAGCTGTAGGGGTCCAAGCCCCACTTCTTCACCAGTCCACCAGTAAATAGAGACCTGATATCCTCTCCATGGATCTTAACCAAATCGTCCAGGACCACAGCCATCAGCTCGTCTTCGCTCACACCTTGAAAGAGGGTGGAATCGTCAGAGCAAGTGTACGATGCGAGCAGAGCCCCTGCGTCTGTTCCTGGGAAACTGTGGCTGGGGTAATAAATGAAGCGTGATGGTCGGTCTGTGATGCTCTTCCCTCCCCTGATGCCCTCTTTCTCCCAAAAGCGCTCCATGAAGCTCAGTATCACTTTGGTGGAACTCGCGTAGTGAACTGAGCGTAGGGCTTCCATCTTGTCCGCAGAAAGCGCTGGCTGGAAGTCAATCAGGAGGGTTGCCTTGGCTGTGGCTGTAATCAGTGCCTGGTCCACCGTCAGGTTAGTCAGCAAACCTGGAGTACGCACGTCCTGGTATGTCACAGTCACGTTTCTGCCTCCTGATTGGTTAATGAGTTTGACCCTGGAGTTGAGGAGGGTTGTGGCGTTCAACATGCCGTAGAAAGCCGTTATGAGGTGGTCAAAGCCATCGGTGACCTCGTAGTACCTGGAAGAAAAGCATCCAGAGTTTGTTTGTTTGTCTTTATATACCGGTATGAATGTGTGTGTGTGTGTGTGTGTGTGTGTGTGTGTGTGTGTGTGTATAATTGATGTCGGACTGGACGTAAAGCATCTCTAGCATGGATGTGTAAAAGAGGCTGTTTTCATTCAGGATGTCTCCAATCATCCGCAACGCACCACGACTCAGATTGCCCTCTTTCACCAAGTATTCCTTTTGACAAACATAACAATAATTATAATCAGCGACAGTAATTCTAATAATTAAGTAATTCAAAACTTTCTTTGGTCACAGTCAACCTAGACTATCCTAGTCGATATGTAGTGCATATTCCTTACTTTCACTGTGTAGGAGTCATACTTTTCCAACATTGCACTACAGCCACTTGTCTGAAGATCATCTCGCACCTGCTCAGAGATTGAAATATTTAGTACAGAAAAATGTATTCTCATTCGCGATATGAAAGATGATCAAATGAGTAAAAATACTAAAATCGAAAGTATACTCCGAGAGCAGGGTATGAATATGAGTCTTCAGGATTGGCAATTTCAATTGATCAGCTCATTGATGGACTGCGATCAGTCAGATCGCACAGGCTTCACCTTCCCACACATCGTGCACAGGAGAAAATGGATGGCGAGATTGACTCGAAGAGAACCCGGAATGTCTACAAACCTTCCACAGAGTCTCACTGAAGAGCTGTGCAGCTGATTTCCCTCTCTCTCCCTCATTCAGGGTGTAATTCAGCACATCATGGTTGTTTGCCACAGCCAAGTTTTTATGAAGTTTCCCATTTAGCAAAAAGTAGGTGTTCATGTCATCTTGGACAAAATGGTTCAAGGGGATTTTTAATTTGGAGACAAAGGAGAGCAGAATCCTGTGGGAAAATATAGCATGTTATTGCAAATAACGTCTACCAGTAGCTACATTTGAAGAAATACATGCAGTTGAATCAGGAAAACAATCACACTTGAATTGAAGTACAACATGAGTTATTTGAATTCTCGATTTTTCGTCTCTTCATCTCTGTGATGAGTTTTTCAACAACAACACCAATTTTTAGCGATGTAATTCGACTGCCTCAAATGCTCCTTCCTTCCATTGTTCAGTGTGATTGTTCTTATAAGGGCGCTTATCCCAGCAGACTCTCAGAGAGAGACAGGGGGAGACTTTGGACTGATCGCCAGTCAATTGTAGAGCAAATACAGACGAACAGCAATTCACGCTCACATCCAACAGCTCAGGAAAATTCACGGTCTTTCCTCTGGTCTCACTTTACCAACTCCACAAAGAAGGACCCGAGAATCTCCGGCCGCTAGGCAGACGTGCTAACCACTATCACCGTGCTGTTACTGCATGTCATCAATAAATTCAGTCAAAGAGAACTGAGCATGTATTCTTTCTTTTCAGCTTCAGACTATTTTCCAAAAAATCATTTATAACAAATGAATAAAATAAAATGGTGTCAAAAGGCACTGTACTCACTTATGAAAGCTGGGGATGCGCATGGCGCCCACCTCTGCGTACCAGCCTTCTCTTGTATTCCTAAAGGTCTCAATGCGTCCTCCAATACGGTGACTGGCTTCTATTATGGTGACCTTTTTTTTGTCCAACAAGTCACATTATCGGTTTTCTCACATTTTCATGAAGCACGAGAGTTTTTTTCTTTTACAAAAGAGAGTTGAGTCACTACCTTATGGCCGGCATCTTGCAAAAACTTGGCTGCGGTTATTCCAGCAATGCCCCCACCAATAATCGCTACGTGTTGAGGTGTCTTTGTGGAGGGGAGTCCTTTATCCACAATATCTAGGAGCTCACTATAGTCGGCATCTTGAAGGCATTCATACAGGGGGTCTCCGGCGATCCCGCTCATTACAAACACCACAACTCCCAATAGAAATAAAGGAACTTGACAGAGGCAAAGAACATGTCACTTTCCCATACATAAAGCACTCCATTTTACTTTATGACACAGATTAATACTTACAAAATTTGCACAGTGACATGTGAGTGATCATCTTGGCAATGGAAGTCCACAGTCTGGATTTCCTTGTTCGGTGAATACTCTGAGAGGGAAATGAAGCCTATAAAGGCAAACATATAATCGATTTTGAGTTCATGGATCCAAATGATGGCAAGTTCCAAAGTTGTCCTTGACATACAGACACAAAAATCAAACTCTGTGTGAAGACCAAGCGTGAATTTCACTTACCTTGGACAAAGGTAATGTCTCATAAGTTGTCATCAGCCTATTCATAGCTGAGGGTGCAAGTGTCCCTGCTGAGCTAAACTCTGAACACGTTTGCTCTCTAAAAGAAGGCACCTTGGAAATCCTGGATGTTTGGTATGTATGAATTTGCGTATATTAATGAGGGACTTTGTGGCTTCAAAGGTCTTCCAGAAACATTTTCCCACACCAGCTCAAGAGTCAACCACACTGAACAAATAAGATTAGTGAGGGTATACTAGTCAGCACAGCCCATTTCCTCCATCTTCACTCATTTTAATACTTGACTCTGCTCATTCGGTATGATTTAAAAGCACTCCATACTGGCAGGTCTGACAGCAGTATTTAGCGCGCACATGCACCACATTAACAACAATTTCCAAGCTTTCTTTAAGTCAGTATTTCATCATAACTGTATTTTAGCTGGAAACTTTATGTTTAGAATTATTATAAGTATCGAGAGGTAATCTTTTTAATCCTATACTTGCCCTTGCTGTGTGGATTAAAAAGCATTAGCATACCTTGTACAATACAACTACACAATTGATTTTTATGAAGTAAAATATTTCATACTCTGCTTTTTTATACCTAACAAAGAGAAGTTCTGAATTTTACGCACCTGGACTCCTTTGTTGCTGGTGCAGAATAAAACCTACACAGGGACTTGCAGTATATTTTTTACATGCCTATGGTTGTGTGGATGATACATTACACTGTACCGGAAGGTTATGAAACTATCTTACAATGTATGGTGGATCCGGTGCTGAACACAGCATAGTTTGAGGTCAAAGGCATATTTTTACTGAGCAATGTTGTCAATAAAAAAAGAGCACGTTGAACAGTGGGCACATCCTTTGTTAATGTATAATGTGCATCACTTTTTCTGATCGTGAACAATGACATGTTGTAAGAAGCAGAGAGTTTGCTATTTGGCCAAAAAGTGATAATGTTCATTTCAAGTCTCGGAAATAATCCCTTTTCGCTGGGTAGAGCCGCTGTGAGTTACAGTACAAACACGTCTAGTCTGCAGCCTTCTGCGACAAGATTGCCACAACACGTGAAGCTTCGACCTTAACTGTCATGGACAGTCGTGTGTAAGGCGTTGAGGTCTTGGAAAGCTTGAAATGAACGCACCATGAGAGGATAAGAAAAAAGAGATAACTGTTCTTAAGATAACTGTTTCCTCTGAATGTGTTGTGTCCACTTAATAAAGCAAATATCATTCATTCATTCATTTTCCGATCCGCTTATCCTCGCAAGGGTTGCAGGGGGTGCTGGAACCTCCTATCCCAACTGTCTTCGGGCAGGAGGCGGGGGACACCCTTAACTGGTTGCCAGCCAAATCGCAGGGCACAGTTGGACGAACAAACATTTGCGTTCACATTCACACCTAGGGACAATTTAGGGTGAGCAAATATCATGCAAATGTAAAAAAAATTAAACTGGTTGGGGGGTTATGGATTGAGATGTTTGTTTTGATGTTGACAGTAAATGCAATGAACACTTTGAAAATGAATGATTTGATTATTATGATTTTTCTGATAGCTTAGCGCGTCGACCTCACAGTGCAGAGGTCGTAGGTTCGATTCAGGCTTCGGCCTTCCTGTGTGGAGCTTGCATGTTCTTCTCGTGCCTGCGTGGGTTTCCTCCCACATTCCAAAAACATCCAGGAAAAAGTGAAAAAAAAATAACGGGAAATGTAAAAATACACTTACATGTTCTTGCTCCATGTGTATGAGGAAATCTTCTGGTACTTCAGCTTCGTAAATTCAGGTTTAGTGCCACTGCATTTTGAACCACCTGCCTCTGCATCTTGCTGCAGGATGGGACCTAGGTCAAGACAGAAGTTGGGGAGTCCTCCCCGGGGCCAACTTGGTCACATTTTGTACTTTTCATGAGTCCTTGCGATCATATCAATGATAGTTAAAAATACCCAGGTATAATCAGATTGATTTCTTATTTCTTCTCAAGGTTGTTCAATTGTGAAATTAAGTGATTTCACGTCCTGGTGCTCAAGAAATAAGGTAGTCAGAACCGCGGCGAGTCCCCTTCTGTATCGGCTTGAAATAAATCTTCGTCCCCTACCAAGTTCACTGTTGTGGAGTTGAATTGAGTTGGAATACAACCAAGTAAAACAAATACACATAAAACACACAACAATTCATAAAAAAAATCTGCCTACAAGCGTCTAGTATTCTTATAAAATAATTTGTTCCACAAAAACATGGAAGGACAATGTCACACTCAATCAATACAATATCATGGTGAGAAGATGCGGAAACCTCACTCAAAATTGAATTTTTAATCTGTTTTTTTAATTCAGTTGTGGGCGGCCCGGTCGTCCAGTGGTTAGCACGTCGACTTCACAGTGCAGAGGTACCGGGTTCAATTCCAGCTCTGGCCTCCCTGTGTGGTGTTTGCATGTTCTCCCCGGGCCTGCGTGGGTTTTCTCCGGGTACTCCCGTTTCCTCCCACATTCCAAAAAACATGCATGGCAGGCTGATTGAACACTCAAACTTGTCCCTAGGTGTGAGTGTGGGCATGGATGGTTGTTCGTCTCTGTGTGCCCTGCGATTGGCTGGCAACTGATTCAGGGTGTCCTCCGCCTACTGCCCGAAGACAGCTGGGATGGGCTCCAGCACCACCCGCGACCCTAGTGAGGATAAAGTGGTTCGGAAAATGAATGAATGAATAATTCAGCTGTAATCACAATTGCAGATTTCAGAGGCCTTTTATTTTGAAATTTGATTTGATTTGATTTGACTTTTTATTTGGTCTCCCATAGGAGAAAATTGTCTTGGAGGACAGGCCCCCCATGCCGCTACATACATTGAACAATACATACAGTATACCATACACAACAGACATTGGACAATAATACAATACAGGACAATATCTTCTCTACATACATTGGACAATACGTTACAGGCATCTGCACACCGCACACTGCCCTCATGTCCTCCTGCTTGTCTGTCTGCTTTCCTCTAGTTGTTTGTTAATTAGGTTGATAGCCTGCGGTATGAATGAGTTTTTGTATCGGTTTAGTTTGCATGGAAGGGTCCTGTACCTCCTTCCTGAGTGTAGGAGCTCGAATTGGGAGTGCAGCACGTGAGATGGATTGTCTAGAATGTTGTTGGCCTGTTGAATAACGGACTGCACATACGGTATATATCCTGGGGAGCAGGGGGCGGGGGCTGTCCGAAATGCAACATCACATCTTAATAAAAGTGATTTCGTTGAATACCGGCCCAGTATGGCCGAGATGTAGCGGGGTTGTGGGATAACGGAAAGTGAATTTCGAATGATTTTTTGAAATCAGGTGTAAAGGTCAAAATTGCGGATTTTAGAGGCCTTTTATTTTTAAATGCAACATCAGCTCTTAATGAGAGTCTTTTAGTTGAATACCTGCTGTGCCCTTGTGTGCCCTACACCCTGGTCTAGTCACTGGATCACGAAAATTGAATTTTTAATGATTTTTTTTCATTCAGGTGTAATGTTCAAAATTGTAAATTTCAGAGGTCTTTCATTTTGAAATATAACATCTTATCTTAATGAATGTACTTAGGTTCAATACCTTCAATAGCCTAGTGTACACTATACCCCGTCTAGTTGTGGGATAAGAAAACTGAAAATTGTAATGATTTTTTTTAAATCAGGTGTAAAGGTCAAAATTGCAGATTTAAGAGGATTTTTATTTTTAAATGCAACATCAGATCCTAATGAAAGTACTCTAGTTAGTTACCTGGTGTGGCTTCGTGTGCCCTCGAGCTCGTCTGGTCGCGAGATAACGAAAATTGAGTTTTTAATTAATTTTTAAAATCAAGTGTAATTTTAATCACTGATGCAGAGTTAACATTCACTCCTGTTTCCATCTCAACTTAAGAACCTTTCTTGGTGCGACTCTGAGACAGTTACCATTCTCCCTGGGTGAACCAATGGGTGCCTAACCGCAGAGAAGTTACTTGATAACATTATTTTAAAACCAAACCACTGACGTGCATGCATTAATTAGTAAGACTTTATTTTGAAGGCGGTCAAAGCCGCTCGCTGGCGGCTGATGATCGTACTTAACTTCGTCTTTACGTGTGAAGGCTGGCTTGACAGCAGTGCATAAACGGTGTTGAAAATGGATGGCTGCGTCCTTGATAGAGGCTCTTTTAAATGTGACTATGAGTGTGTTTGCTCAGTTTCACTGTCTTTCATTACCATGGTGTAGTTTAGGGTACTGTACAATCAAAACACTGTTTACTGGGGATTTTTGAGTGGGCGTTACACCCATTATGATGACGTCACGATACAGGAAGTAAACAGCTCACGAGATGTCTATAGTTGATGATCAGCTCCAAACGATTTGCACGATTTATATTATTTTAACGATGGTAACCATGCGCTAAGGTAAGCTATCTTTGTGTCGGTCCCACCCATCCAATAACTGCCATTATTTTATCTTTCGACGACCCCCCCAGGATATCGTCATTTTTTTTTCTTCGCCAGTGTCAAGCGCTAAAGGAAATATAAACACATGTATGTAAACATTGCATTTAGAATCATGTGACAAGTAGATACACAACGGATTTAAAATGCAAAGTGCAGTTTCAATAGTCTGCACAAATATGTCGCATTTTTTATTTTCTTTGGGACACTACCACAACTGCTTCGACGACTTGCCTTTGAAGAATATTAAAACGTTAAAAATGAGCAAAACACGTTTCTCGTCGGTGACACTTTATTCAAGTACCAAGGAGCGTCTAAGCAAAGAATGAGCTTAAATGTGGGTAATTGCTTTGCAAACGGTGTTGTTCGGCGTCAAACAACTAAATTCAGTTAATCAAATAACTGCAGTGGAGCTAAAAATGGTTGGAATTGATAGTCAGGCTCATGCTCCTTAAAACTCCTCCTGGATGTACAAAGGACGTGACAAAGAAGTTGCACTACGAGAAGTGAATTTATCTTACTAATATTTATTTTTTCAGAATTTGTCAGTGTTCTTCTCATACGATTCTTCTCATATAACTTGAGCTGATATGTTTTTTTTTTCTTTTCAGTGTAACCCTATTTTCATTATTTCTACATATTTATTGTATGCATGCTTCCACCCAAGTTCCAACAACCCTTACATATTGTTAGCCTAGCTATATTCTCGCAAGTCTAGCTTTTGAATAATGTACCAAACTCATACTCTCTATTTTGTTTTCTAGGTCTGATGCAGGTGTGACAAGCACCCCCTCGGTGTCATGGCAGAGGTGCTGGGACAGAGATGTTTGCTGGGCCTTTGCGTACTGTTTGCTTGGCTCGTTCTTTTCCATCTGCTTGTTAATATCTGGCTGCTGTGCGTGTTCACCAGCCTGCTCGTCGTACTTGGGGGCTGGCTGGGGTCACAGGCTATTTTGGAATCCAACAGTGTGATTCACCTGGAGAGGTTTATCACTCTGGAACAGGTAAATCACCACTTCCATACTTAAAATAAGTAAGCATCGTGGTATATTCACTGCGTAGACATTTTATGTGGTTCACCTCAATCATTTAAAAATTACCGCTACATTGTCCCATTATATTTCACTGTCCCTCTTTTGGATTTTCTCACTCACGGATTCCAGAACAAATTCATAAAAGCACAATTTACAGTGTACGCTATGAGCACGGTTCAACATTAACAATGGCCCGGGGCCAAAACGTAACAGTGTCAGGCCACCTGAAGTCAAGTGACGCTAGCCTGACTGGGCCAGTATAAATTTCATGAATGAATTATGATTAAATCAACACCGTGCTGCCCGGTGGCCCAGTGGTTAGCTTGTCGGCCTCACAGTGCAGAGGTGCAGGGTTCGAGTCCAGCTCCGCGCTTCCTGTGTGGAGTTTGCATGTTCTCCCTGTGCCTGCGTGGCGTTTCTTCAGGTAATCAAGTTTCCTCCCACATTGCAAAAACATGCATGACAGGTTAATGGAACACTCTAAATTGTCCCTGGGTGTGAGTGTGAGCGTGGATCATTGTTCGTCTCTGTGTGCTCTGCGATTGCTTGGCAACCAGTTGAGGGTGTCCCCCGCCTACTGCCCAAAGACAGCTGGGATAGGCTCCAGCATGCCCCGCGACCTTTATCAGGATAAGCGGATCAGAAAATGGATGGATAAATTAACGCTTTCTTGCTTTTTTAAAATATTCGATTTAAGTTTTATTAATAAAGTGATCGATCATCATTGATCCTTTTGCCGTTCTGCAAGAATTTTTTGCACTTCCTTACCTTAACAATGGCTTGAGCAAGATATAAGGCAGAGACATTGGAAATTGTTAAATATTCAGTTAGATTTAGATTTGATATAAAAAAAAACATACCCAGAAAAATAACTACACAAAAGAAATATTTTCTGAAAGGCTTAAATAACACCGTATAAAGATGCTCAATATATAATCATTGCAGCTTATTGTATTCTATCATGAATATAGAGGGGCAATGCCAGTTCTGGCAGGGCCACCACAACATGGCTAATATCTTAATGCAGAACCCTGACAAAGATGTTGGTAAATTACATTACTTAGTCGGCATCATTTTAATCTTGACTTAAATGACAGAAATGATTTGTCAGATGTGAACACACGCCATTTTTGCTGAATTTTCAATCATGCATTCATCTGACAAAAATATAAGTCGTTGGTGTCATCAGACCATTGACACATTTTACCCACATTGGTTGGGGAGATTTCAAGAGTGTTTTGATCAAATATAGCGAGACATGGATGGTTTTCTTTGTAAGACAAAGCTTCTGTTTTGTCACCTTACTCAACAGCCCAGACATATGAGACATATGAAGGCGACGTGAGATTGTTGTCACTTGCACTAAACGGCTAGTACAGTACTTTGCAGAAATTCCTGCAACTTCTTCAATGTTGCTCTTGGCCTCTTGGGGGCCTCCCTGACCAGTTTTATCTTGTCTTTTAATCAACTTTGTAGAAACCTCTTGGCATTATTTTGCCCTTGTTTTCTCTACTTGATGATGACTGTCTCACTTGTGTGCATTTAATATTTACCGGTCATGTCTTGGAAAGGGTTTTGTATCTTTCATGTGAGTGTTTCCTTTCACCAATAAAATACCTCTGATACTGCGAAGTTCTCTTGGCTCGTGCTGCAATATACGACCACAAAAATGCTAGAAAATGACAGGAGAACATCTGAACTTTATTTGCGATGAATCAGAGGCACATTAACCCTTTCGTGCACCCTGTAACCTGATAAAACGATAAGCTGTCCACTGTAGTAACTGCTGTCCCTGAAATGGTTAAATTATGGCAGTTGTGTGCTGACTCCCTTTTAACTTGAGTTTGAATGTACTATACGTGACTCATTGTCAACACAGCCACAACCTCAGGTAAACAACATGGGAATTAGAAAGTGGTGTGTGTCTACTTTTGTATCCACTTTATTTTTGGTCTTGTGTTTTTTATGTCACAAAAACCAAGCATTTGAACAGGGGTATGGAAACTTTTTAGATCCACTTTAATGCTGTGACCAGTAAGTACAGTACAGTATACAGATAGAATTTGACACAAAGTTGACTGATTATCTTAAACTCAAGCATTCTATACTTTACCCCTAATTGCACTTCCCTTGTTGCACATTTTCAGATTCCTTCCACCGTGGAGGATGAACATCACTTGGACCAAGAAATCCACAATTCGGTGAGGAAGATTATCAGGGACTTTGTTTGTTCTTGGTACAAGACTGTGTCCTCTGAGAGTGGCTTTGAAAAGGAGGTTCAAGAGGCGATGATTTCTATGGGCATGGAGCTGAAGATGCGTGCAAAGCAACTCGACAGAAAGGTACAATTTCTCACTCAACACCTGAATTCAAAGTAAAGAATTCTGTGAAGGGCGGCCCAGGGTCCCAGTGGTTAGCGTGTCGACCTCACAGTACAGAGGTACCGGGTTCAATTCCATCTCCGGCTTCCCTGTGTGGAGTTTGCATGTTCTCCCCGGGTCTGCGTGGGTTTTCTCTGGGTACTCAGGTTTCCTCCCACATTCCAAAAACATGCATGGCAGGCTGATTGAACACTCTAAATTGTCCCTAGGTGTGAGTGTGAGCGCGGATAGTCGTTCGTCTCTGTGTGCCATGTGATTGGCTGGCAACCGGTTCAGGGTGTCCCCCGCCTACTGCCCGAAGACGGCTGGGATAGGCTCCAGCCCCCCGGAAAATGGATGGATGGATGAAATACTGTCAAAGTAAAATTGATGGCTATGAAACTGATGTGTGTCTTTTGTTAAATTTGGACTGCGACCTCCTTATTGGCTGAACTGTACAATTCTTGAATATCTATAATTGGTTAAAACCCCTCATTTGAAAGAGCCAGGGCCAAGTATACCAATACATTGGGAAGACAATTTTTCATATATATGTGTGTGTGTGTGTGTGTGTGTGTGTGTGTGTGTGTGTGTGTGTGTGTGTGTGTGTGTATATATATATATATATTTTTTTTTTTTAAGAGCTCACACCCTGGCTGATAAGTGGTTTTGAAAATGTGTGGATACATGAATTTGCCGTCCACATTTATTAGCTTTTTGTATTGCTGTAGAGGCTGACCCAGAGGATCTTGGAAATGTTTGGCTGCCATCTGCAGGACTACCTTCGAGCCAAGGAGCTGGTTGCCCAGCAGCAGATGTCTCCACATACAAAAGCGAATAGTGACAGGGAAAAGTTGTGGCAGGCCTATTCCAGGGTTTGCGCACCTCACTGTGTTATGACCAGCGAGTCAGTGGAAATCAATTACACAAGAGCTCTAGTGGACTTATTGCTGCATGTTTTGGTGCCCCCGCCTCACTTGGAAACAGGCACTGGACGATATGTTGTTGGAGAACTCATCACCTGCAATGTCCTGCTCCCCCTTTTTGCAAAATTGTCTGACCCCGACTGGTTAAACCTTTTCTTGATAGACATATTTGGCAGTTGTAATAAATCAAGGGAGATGATTGGAGACGAGACACTGGATTTGTCAGTACCACTTCCCTCTGCTAAATTACAGCTCAATGTACCACAAGAAACCACTTACGCCCACCAAAGTAATGCGGATGTCCCTTCTCCAAAACCTCTAACAGAAAGGGACATTTTTGGAGACATGGTCTTGCTGGAACTCTCGATGCATGATGGAGCAGATTCGGAGGAGGTCGATTGTCAACAGAATAACGTTAAAGAAGAGGAAAGTCAGACCTTGATAAACTCTTTGAGTGGAATTAACTCGAATCCCTTTTATCAAGAAAATGATTCTGACTTGGACTCTTCGTTAGCTGATTACAAACTGAATTCCATTGACTCCTTGGACATGATAGGGCAAGAGGACGGTATGGATGACCAAGAGAAAGAATGTGGAATTAAAAGTAGTAATGGTCAAGATTTGGAGGCTCTGTGTTCCAATCAATTAGATGTCTTCTGCCCGACAGTCTCGATGAATTCAGAGACATCCCAGCACCCAAATGGCTTATTGGAAAGAACAACAGAGAATACTCCCATCGGCAGCCTTCAGAACTTGGAGAGTGAAAGTAGTTTCTCTTTAGCAAACCAGGCAAGGGAGCTTCCTCTGGTTGTTGAACCAGTTGGGAACACCAATGAAGTGACTGTCATCAGCCCATTGCATGGTTCTTCCCCCTTGCCTACGTTCAGTTTTGAACCTCTAAGCAGTCCCGATGGACCAATAATAATTCAAAACCTTCGTATCACTGGCACGATCACAGCGAAGGAACACCGTGGGACCGGCTCACACCCTTACACGCTTTACACTATCAAGGTAAGAACTGGACTTACTTTATTTTTTTAATCATCTATTCTATTCAATATTCAGTGTTCATAGGATGTGAAGAAATACAATGTGTCGTTAAGTATGGCTCAATTATAACATTAAAAGTTTGAAAGTAATGTTTTTTTTTTTTAAATTTGCTCACTTTTTTTGCTCACTGTCCTACATATGTGCGCTCTCTCTCTCTCTCTCTCTCTCTCTCTCTCTCTCTCTTGTTCTCTCTCTCTTTCTCTCTCTCTCTCTCTCTCTCTCTCTCTCTCTCTCTCTCTCTCTCTCTCTCTCTTCTTTGTGTCTCGGGTGTGCTCGCTGTTTTA